AAGTTTTTACTGATGATATTTTGTGGCTTAAAAATAATATCTCGCCTTGGGACTTGGTAGAACAAAAATGGAACAGAACGTTTAACTATCGGTATAAAATGTTGTTGGAAAATGAAAATAAAAATAAATATTTTGATGATTATCCTGCAATAAGAGCTGCAAATGGATTTTCTCTTGTTAGTATTCTTTAAATTTTGTAAAAATGATTTTTTAAATTAAATTAATTAATTGTTATAGATAGAAATAGATTTCAATAACTTATATCCAGATAAAGACATGATGTTGTTTATTAAATTTGAAACATTTAAGAAAAGTTTAATATTGTATATCAAAAAGTTTAAAGCAAACATTTATCAAGACTTTCCTATGTTAATGGTAGAATTAGAATTTCCTAACAAACCTGGTAATATAACCTAGTATTTAACATGTGTGTTGTTTTTAGTATAGTGTACCTAATATTGTGAAATAAATAAATAATACATTTTAATGTCAATGATTTTAATTTTTAGGTAATGATGAAATTGCTGCGTTAAAATTATTTGTGGAATTATTCAATCCAGTTAATGTATCATGTAAGCGCTTACATGGTAATACATCAAAAAAAAATTATTGGAGACCTTCTAAAGCAAGGATAAAACAAGGATTTATTCACTATGCTAATGTAATTATTGTTTTATAATAGTATTTAATTAATTTAAGTTCTCAAAACTTTTATTAATGTATGGTTATCTTGTTTTAGAATATTTCTCAATTGAAAGAAATTGACAACATTAAATTAGAAAAAGCTCAACGATTAGGCCAAACTGTTCAGCCATTTTTAATATTTATTGGCGAAGGATGTGAAAACAAAGAAAATGTCAATGTCACTGATTTTTATGTTGTGATTAATCGCAACTTTTTAAAATTGGAATCTCCTCTTAAAGCGCTTGAGGTATGTTTCAAGTCTTTTTTTTGTATGCATTTAAATTACCCTGCGGAAAGCGACCAAATTTGGCAGTTTATTCAAAAGTATTTTTTTAATATCACCACAAACTATGATAAAAATTACCAAATGGTAAACATTTTTATAAATGATTTAAACAAATTTTAACTATTATAATAATTTATTATATTATACATGTTTTTTTTTTTATATATATATAATATATTATATTAATTATTCATGTATTATGTTCATGAACCACAAGAGTAATATTTTGTTATTTGAATACTAAAAAAGAGTGTTTTAAATATAATTTGATTATAATTATTAATAGTTATTATTCTTTTACATAATGGGTTTCACATGTTTTATTTGTTTTATGAATTTTAATTTGAATTCAGATTTATTGTTACATATTAGGTTATTTCATTCATATGACCATATTAATAATTATAAATGTTTAGTAGATAACTGCTTAAGAACTTTTGATACTCTTAACTCTTTTGGAAAACATATAGCATGCTGTCATCAAGCGACTGTTACACCAAAAACATTGAATAACGTTCCATTTTTAAATAATATAACATATAGTAATGACAATGACAGTCATTCTACTGATGAGCTAACTGATGAAACTAGTGTAACCATAAATTCCTTTAAGCATAATGTTCATAATAAATCAATTATATTTATAAGTAAATGGTACAACGAATCTGTTATACCTAAAAATAAAGTACAAACTATAATAAATGATGTTAATATGATGCAAGAAACAAATATTAGTATATTAAAAAATGAAGTCTTAAACTTGCTTAATGAAAGTAAATGTGAGTTAAATTCTATTTCTAAAATAACTTCGATGTTTGATATTATTCAAAATCCATTTGATAAATTAGAATCTGAATTTTTGCGTATTAAAAAGTTAAAACAAATGGGAGTGTATATCACACCAATAGCCGTGCACATAGGTAACAGGTTAACTAATATTACTAAAAATGATTCTACAATTATGAAAAATAAAAATATTTACATTTATTATATACCTTTGGATGAGGTTTTTAAAATCTTTTTGGAACAGCCTAATGTATTTAAAATTATAACAAACAACTTGAAAGAATTGTTTTCAACTAATGGAGATATTATTTGTAGTCTGGTCCAATGTAATATATGGAAAGAAAAACGTAATAATTTTCCTAGTAAAATAATACTTCCATTTCTTCTGTACTTTGACGATTATGAAACCAATAATCCGTTAGGGTCACATGCAGGTAAAAAAAAAATGGGAGCTGTTTATATTTCTTTAAGTCCTTGCTTACCTTATGAATTCAGTTCTACACTTGATTATATTTTTCTTGCTTTAATATTTAATTCTTTAGATAGAACAGAATTTGGGAATTTTGCTATATTTCAAAAATTAATTTCATCCATAAAATATTTAGAAAATAGTGGAATTGACATTACCATAGAAAATAAAAACTATAAAGTTTACTTTAAAATGGTTCTAATTTTAGGAGATAACCTTGGACTTCATTCTATTTTTAACTTTTCTGAAAGTTTTATGGCCAACTATCCCTGTCGATTTTGTAAATCTAGTAAATTAGAATGCAACTTTTCAACAGTCGAAGATGTTAGTATATTACGAAATAAAGAAAATTATTGTTATGACTTGGAAATAAATAATGTATCATTAACTGGTCTAAAAGGTCCTTCAATTTGGAATGAACTTCCTGATTTTCATGTTACAAGCAATTTTTCGGTTGACATAATGCACGATGTCTTAGAAGGTGTCTGTAACTATGATTTGTCATTTATTTTATTAGCATTTATTAATGATTTAAAATATTTTTCCCTGGATACCTTAAATAATCGAATCCAATATTTTAGCTATGGACCAATTGATATTCAAAACCGTCCTCAAATGATATCATTAGATTTTTTAAAAAAAGGTAAATTAAAGATGTCAGCCAGTGAAATGTTTTGTTTTATTAGATTTTTTGGCCAAATAATAGGAGATTTAATTCCAATATCGTCTGAAATTTGGCAAGTCTTTGTGATTTTAAAACAAATTGTAGATATTATTACTTCTAAATATATTCAAAAAGAATATCATATATTACTGAAGACTCTAATCACCGAGCACCATAAATTATATTTAAAATTATTTAATTGTAATTTAAAACCTAAACACCATCACTTACTACACTATCCAAGAATTATGAATGAAGTTGGACCTTTAATAAATATTTGGTCTATGCGTTTCGAATCGAAACATAGAGAATCTAAAATAAATGCTAATGCTATTACTAGCAGGAAAAATATTTGTTTGACTTTAAGTAACAAACATCAGTTAAAACTTGCCTATAAATTTTTATCAAAAAATTGTTTTTCTTCTACCATAGACATTGGACAGACTATGAAATTATCAAAATACACAATAGATAAAATTAAATCCCAAATAGACTCTTCTTCTAGAGTAATCTTTAATAATTTAGACATACATAACTGTAGCTTTATTTCATGGTTCAAAACAAAAGGAACTCGCTATGCTTGTAATATGTCAATAGTACTTGATTTTGAAAATATTCCCATATTTGGTTTAATTAAATATATATATATTGTTGATAATAATCCTTTTTTTTTGTACCATAAATATGAAACAATAAAATTTGATGATCATATACAAGCCTGGGAGATTACTTTAACATCATGTTTATATTTTTGTACATCATTTAATGATATACCAAGTTTTCAAAACCCATGTACATCTTCCCCTAATAATAATGGAACCATGTATATAGTGTTTAAGTCTTAATTATTTGTATACTATTATATGTATTATTTTGTTTCTTTTTATTATGTACTTTAAATAAATCTTATTTAATATATTTATATTGTTTATTTATTTAATATTATGTTCCAAGATATTTCCTTATATTAGCAAATTAGTATCATTCATCAATTAAATAGTAAATAACTATGTGTATACTGTATACCCTAGTATTATATGAAAGATAGGTAACTAATAAATATTTAACAACTATGTATGATTACTACAGTGCAGTAGTAAATTCTTCTAGATTCACGATTGTCAAGTGTATACCTATGTAGTATAATGTTAATATACCTAACATATGGACATATGGTACATACTTTTGGTTGGCCTGATTATAGGTATTAGGAACCTAGTAAATAAATAATTGATTTTTTTTGTATGATTTTTTTATATTTTTAAGTGAATATATATGGGGGTGTGGTGGTTACTTTTCATGTAATGTCAGGTGGGGGCTACAGCCCCCCCAAAATTTCAGCCCTAGTTGAGCCACTGAATGTAACCCTTGTAATAAATTTGTAACATTAGTACTTTACACAAAGTTTAATAGAACAAAAATTAAGTTGGGTCTACTACACATTTTAGTTGATTTGATAATCCAAACAATAAATTGTAATCCACTAAATAGGTTAGATTAACTAAATATATAGTAAACATTACTTTTACTAACTATTATGCATGGTTGAATAAAATAAACACTGTGTCTAGAGCGCCGGGCGCCCGGACATGTAATAGAGTACCTGGCGCCCGGCTACACTGTAGAGCGCCGGGCGCCCGGATATATTAAAGAGTACCGGGCGCTCGATTACACTGTACCGGGTCACACTGTAAATTACCTGTTGAGTATCACACCGAACTGCATTGGGCGCGTAATTTAAATATTTAATAATAGATTTTTATTAGGAAAACTTTAATTGTTTATTTGGCTTTTACCTACCTTTATATCCTTTCCATTGTATAACCCGATGATAAGTATAAAGCTGTACTAACCTATAAAAGTTAATTGCACTAACCTTGTACAAGTTATTCAGTGTTCATCAGTTATTCAGTGTTCATCAGTTATTTTTCAGTGTTTAAAGTAAATTATCTGTTATATATATAATTATTATGAAGCTCCAAGATAGCTATAAATCATTTGAAGAGTTCGAGAGCAGCTTTAGGGTCTACAAAGACGTGAATTTTGTAGATTTCTTTATAAAAGACTGCAAGACATTAACCTCCATTAACGCGAAATTTCCAAATGGCAGAATGATGACAGCATCCAGTGACTTAAAATATTATTATATTAAATTTTGTTGTGTGCATGGAGGATGCTACAAAAAAAAAAAAAACCCTTGACCAACGTTCTACATCGTGAGTACATTTATTTTATTTATTTATTTATTACTAAGTTGTAAAATTCAAGATTTAAAATATTAAAATGTTTGAAGTACAATGCGCCAAGGCTGTGATGGAATATTACAATAAAAACTGGCATTTAATAAGGGATGAATGGGTGATAGGCATGACCTACATGACAGGAAATTTTATGAATAAAACAAATAATAGATTAGAGAGTTTCAACGGGAAACTAAAATCTGTTATTTCCTGTTTTTCTACTTTAGAAAATTTTGTAGAAAAATTATTCATTGTTCTCAAATGCATTAGATTAGAACGCGATAAAAATGCTGTGAAGTTGGTTCAAAAACACCCAATTCAAATGTCTCAAACTCCTGAATTGCATAAGTATTATGATTTGTTAACACCTTATGCATACAATTTTTTAAAAAAACAGTTTGAGTATGACGAAGAAAGTATTACTAAAAATACAACTGAGAATACATGCAGTTGTATTTTCTACAACTCAATGAGACTTCCGTGTCATCATATTTTTAAGGTACGAAAACAATCACTGACACCTTTATTTGATCCTGATTTGTGCGAAAAAAGATGGACGAGAAATTATTATTATAAAACTCAAAGGGTTTTTCAAAATGTTGAGGTCGCTGTCTCCGATAGTGATACTACAGTAACTACATTATACAGAAAAAAGAAAAAAGTCCCAACAACTCATGAAAAGTTCAGAAAAGCAACATTAATAGGTGCAAAGATTTCTGAATTAATTTCCCAAGCTTCAAATGTTCATTTCTATAGAAAAATTGAACAGCTTGAATGTATATATAATAATTGGTTGAAAGGGCATGAGGTATCTATTCAAGTGTTAGGTAATTATGAAATTAGAAAAACTGTATAGATGTAGATAATGACGTTATGGATGATGTTGAAAATGAAGATTTAGGTAATTATAACAGACAGGATAACTACCCAGACAATGATATTGTATGTATTAACTAATAAAAAAATAATAACTAATACCTAACTAATAACTAATAACTTACTATAACAAAATTAAAGTTATAGAACAATGTATTTCTATTTTCTTCGTATTATTATTGTTCTGTGGTATTATCATATTTTCATATTTACAGTGTGACCCGGCGCTCTAGACACAGCGTAAAATAAAACTAAAGTCAGGTTTACTAAACAGTTAAGTTACGTTGATAGTAAAAAAAGGTTGATTTTATTAATTCTAATCTAATATATTGTTTGAACCAACTATAATATTTAGGTAAAGCAATCCCATGTAATAGTAAACATAACTATATTGTTTAATTCCTACAATGAAGTAGTTTCATTGAAATTGCAACTAAATATAAAGTTGAAACAGCTAAATATTTTTAACTAAACCAATTTAGTATTTATAACTACTCTTATAGATTGTCCCTATGTTAACCTGAAAATACGATTAAAATAACCATTTAAAAAGTTGGGTTAAACCTTTATTTTTTTCCGTGAACCTGCACCTATAAACTAAAATTTCCATAGTACATATCAAAATATCTGTGTTTGAGCACCTCCCGAGGTTGGGCCTATCACTTTTTAACTTAGCCTATCTTCTATACTTAAGTCTAATATATCTCTATACCAAATTTCGATTTTTCTATTTTTACACTTTTCAACCTTATTAACCCTTTTTAGGAATTACATTTTACAAATTAAATTGTATAGACAATGTTTATTTGTGGTATAGAGTAATAGAGTAATAGAGTATGTATACTTAATTTCAAAAAAATCTGCAGAACAAAAAAAAAAAAACGTTTTAAATTCTTACCCTCTTTAACCCCCTTAGGGGTTGAATTTCCAAAAATCCTTTCTAAGCGCACGCTTACATGATAAAAAAAAAAAACAGAGACAGGATTAATTAATTGTTATTATATCTTTATTACATGATCATTAAAATATAAATTATCATTATTTTATATAAACCTCAATTATTTATAGCTAATGTGATGATTTATATATATAATAAATTATTTATACAATTAAATTATTTGGTATTTTATTTAATTTTATTATTTTTAATTAATTCGGATCTGATGAAAATCGATCCAATATATAGGTGTGTGTGTGTGTGTGTGTGTGTGTGTGTGTGTGTGTGTGTGTAATATTGAAGAAATAATATATCAATTATTACCTTTCCTGCTGTCTTTGTCTTTTTGATATTAGCTTTTGTTTCTACATCATTTTTTCTTTTATTACTGTTTGCTCTTACAGGTTTTGCGATAGATATACTTTCAGTTTCATGCTATTATTTAATACAATTCAATTGTTTGAACCGCACAATTTCGCGCCCGGCGATTTGCACCGCAGGCAATACCGGGACAGAGTCCAGCCAGATTACGATAGGTTTTGACGACCTTTGTCACTATCGTCGTCGTAATCGCAGCTAAGGCAGTCGCGTTACGTAATAATATACGGGCCAGTCTATACTCTATTCCAAATAAGTTTGGAAAAATGTACGACGAAAACGCGTCCGGTTTCGCGCAGGTATGTCACGTGATCTGCCGGTGGCGAGCGCTGTTGTCGACGATCCGGTTGTATACAGCC